CTGTTAAAAATAACTATATAATATTATTATTACCGCTCGACATAAGAATAATTATATCAACGCTCGTCCTCGAAATTGATAATAAATACGAATTTCGAGGAATGTCGTGAAAATTTGTATAGTATCAAATTAAAATCGCTCGTGCATAATAATAATACAGTCTCTYCTCCTAGCCCATGGAAAAACGTCCGGTTGTTAATTTTAGAAGACCCTCGTAAGTACCCCGCGGAGTCTGCCAAACCGCGTGGGCGATTCTCACACTATATGTTAACTGGTACACACAGACCAAGACGAAGCTCGCAGTCGAAGGGAAACCGTTGAAACCGAAAGCTACCAATAATATCATAGTACATCCCAAGTTTTTATCCGAGTGTTACTGTGAATATACCTATACCTACAAATATATTATAATATATAATATAATTATTTTCTCTTTATAAAAAATAAATAATAATTTACTGTCAAAATGATGATGTCTCACATTGATCCAGAACAAAACGATTACGAGCCCGAAAACGCTCTTCTGTGGGTAAGTGTTGGAAGTTACTATACAGTGTGTTTCCTTTTAAAGGTAACACTAAATAATTCTATCCAGTGACATCGGATTAATATGCGGATTTCGGGAGGGGATAGGGAATAAATAAATACACATTTCTTGATGATTTTTACATTTTTAGATCTATCCGTGTGCGCATGCGCAATACAACTTGCATTTTTTTAAATGGCAACAGGTGTTTTGAATACAAAATTCGGATAGACCGAATTTTTTTAAGTCGATTTGGTCCTTTTTACCRTASCTCTAAAATCAAAATTGACTAAATGGCAACCAGTCAAAGTTTCGATTAATATCATTGAATTTTTCACCAATCATACTAGAATTTTATGAATTATTATGAAATTTTATTTATTATTTTTGTATCCGTAATAGGTTTGCAGATATTATTAAATCATTTAAATCATTTAAATTAATTCCTCAAAATTAAATTTAACTTCGGTATCAACATATACMATTTGTTTTTAAATTGAATGCCTCTGCGTTAGTTATTGCGTGGTCTATGTTACCCCTAACATTATGTCACAGATGCGTCAACAAATTTGTATGAAAATATAATACRATTTCGATAAATTTTCATAACGTTCGAAACGCTTTCCTATGCTYCCTCTTTGGTCGTCTTTTTCATAGTAATGTGTTTTATTGCGCTTTTAGCCCTACAGAACGAACCCACTGGTGTTACCCGGAGCAAAGGTCAAGAGAGATCCGCCCAAGACCGAGTCATACTTGCGCCATCATCCAAATCCGATGATGAGAGCGCATCCGTCACACCACGATCAACCCATGGACACCCTGATGAAACAAAAGGTAAGCGTMAAGTCCACCGTTGAGTCTACATAACATAGGGTCACAGGATTGTTACGGTCCTATATAAATATACATAATTGATAGGTCACGGACACGGTGTTGCAACGGATAAGCAGCGAGGAAGCCAAGTCAAGACCCGGTAGACAGGTTAGGGATCCGATATTATATATATATATACTATGTACAATGACTTATCTGTGTTGTCCTGCTTGAAGTGTAGATAGACGTGTTCGTCGAAAATAAATTATATCTATTTATAGCGATATTATTATAGATATAAGACATAGTACATATACGATATTTTACCATCGCAAAAGAGGCAATTAAAAATTATTCAAGTTTTTTAATGTGTCAGTTGCGTGAGCTTCTGCCTAAAAAATACACGGGCTTTATTGGGGATTTCACTTGTTGACTTGTGTGTCTCGTTGATAAAATTTAAGATTTGATATTAGAGCTAACTTAGAATTATTTTTTTTAGGTGGTACACAAACAGTTCAACTCTCCAATAGGTCTTTACTCTGAGGAAAACATCGCTCACTCAATCAAATCGCAAACGGGATATACTCCGTAAGTTTTTTGAATATTACTATCTACTTTTTTCATTAGGCTTGAGATRAAAATATTAAAGTAGATTTTCGCTGCAATGTTATAATATTATGATTACTCATTTTGGCAACAAGCTAGATAATGAATTAGTGACTAATATCTTTGACCTTGAACACAACAACTGATCAAAAGTTTTGAAAAAATATGTATTCGCGAGGGGTTTTGTTTATACATTATACGCGTATAGTGTGCATCTATTAATACACCGCACTAAAGAACTGGCCCAGTGAATTTTATCCGCCCAGTGTCTCTATTTTTGTTCAGTCTGACCTAAATTGACCGTAACAAATATTTCGACAGTCTCATATAATATACTGTTCAAAACCAAAGCGTTCGGTTGGTCAGTAGTTATATATAGTAAAAGTTAATGACCAAAATTCATCCATTTAATTGTGCAAACTAATGTTTAGGGAAGAGGAAGAAGAGAAGTACGGTCGTTTGAGGTAAATAGATATGCATGAAGCATGTGTGAGGTAAAACGTATTTGGCAAGGGAATGTTATTAGCGGCATGTAATTTAGTTAAGAACTGAGTTAAACTTAGGTTTACGCGAACTCGAAGATGCACCATTCTTTGCATATTGCTATAGGTAYTGTAATATTATATTATAAGAACCAAAAGAAATAATTGAAAATGCTTTTTGATAATTACTATATTAAGTGCCTCAGTGGTATCTTTCTAAACACGGTAAATAGTAGTCGGACTAATGATTTTGCTTATTTTATGACCAAAGAACTCGTACTGCATATCTAATCTCAGTATTTTCATTGACCTGTCCTTCCTGGAACACAAAACCAAACTCAAACACAATTATCCATCCTAGTAAATTCCGCTATTAATCCTGCACATACCTATCTATATAAATACTGACTAACACAATTGTAATGAAAAAAAAAATTCTAACATTTCTTCTGTTTTTCTTTTTCTTTTGACTTAAACTATATTATTCTTCATCACACATTTCTTTACTAACACCTTCCCCCTCGGAACTTTTCCCCCTTTTCTGACCACGACATATAGGCACAAGAAGACTGTGCAGTACGACCCAGCTAAATCTGAAACGTATAAGGCGATTCAAGAATCAGAACACGGAGACTTCCACGCTCAAGAGATTTCGAAGCCAGTGCAACCGAAAGTATTCACACCTGTCCAAGGAACGGTAAAAGTAAGTCTGATCGTTTTACCGATTATCATTTTCCATTACTTTGCACTCTTTAATATATATATTTTTTTATTCTGTCGTAGAAAGCTCCGATTAGCAACGGCCATGGCCACCAAAATCATAATGTAAGTATTCGCGCGGCTATCAAATATTTTATTTCATATTTAATATTTAAGTGAATATTTTTATTTTTTATTAATTACTGTAAGGAAATAAATATATTATTAATAATAACAAATAATAAATATGATGATTTTCTATTTCAGAAGTTGTCAGCTCCTTATCATCCAAATCCAGGAGTAAGTAAATAATAATATTATTATTTATTAATTATTTCAAACTTCTTAGTACTTATATTTAATTTATACTTACTGAACAACATCAAAACCAATAATTTAATTATATTATTTATTTATATATATATATATATATTTATAAATTAATTATT